TCCCCTGGCCCAGAAGTATCTCCACCCACACCAAACCATGAGGAACTGCACCCACACCGATAGCTGAATGAGAGCCGAGCGGCTACGTGATGCAAATGGAAGAGGTCTCTGCCGTTGGCGAAAAACCGAGAAAGGGATCAGGCCACCACGAGTTCCAAAAAAATTCTTACAGCAGCAAGTGGTTCGGAAAATTGAAGTGAAAATAATATATATAATATTAAAAGTGAGTTAGATGATGGGGTAGTGGCCATCATTCTAAAGTGTAGTATCATGATAATATAACGAACATCTTCAGAAAAGGAAACGGGACGAGTTTGGCCGAGGAAATAGGACAGGCAACCGGGACCGGGAAAAGAAGGCACCGTCAACGAAGAAGTAAGTCCGTTCCAAAGAAACAATTTAATATAAAAAGAAAAAAAAGGGAAAGTAAATTTAAAATTTTCCGGTTAAGGTCACCGTTGGCGAAGTAAACAAATAAATAAATAAAATAAATTATACGATATCTGGACCACGTGCAACCGGCTCCGGGCCAGACCACGACAGGAAGAATTATTCCTTTAACCATATACATACCCAAAACCTTTTGATTTAGCCGCACCACACTGGCACGGGATTTGTTTTCGTTGAAATTTTTCTTGTCGACTATTAAACAATATTGCTCTACAAAAGTTAAAATATGAACTCAGCATTGATAAAAGACTTAAAATAGTTTTTAAGTAAATTAAATAAAACATTCCCCCTTAATATTAGTTAAAATTTCGTCCCAATAATTTAAATGAAAGTCGTTCGTCCACCTTAATCTAAGTTTATATGTTAATTTATTGAATTATTTATGCACCACTAAACTTATATATATATCCCACATACATACATCATATATTGTTTATTAACATATGTCCTTAATAATTTAAATAGTATTTGTAAGTAAAAAGAATTTGATATAATCAGAATTTCGTGAAACAAGGAAAAGAATATACATTTGCATAAAATTACATATGTAAATTTGCGGAGGTCTCGCAGCAGTTGGGATGTAAATTAGCAAGTAAAGTAAATAACCTACACAACTATATGCGAATGTAGAAAGAGGAAAAGTCTCACATTAATAAGTTTAGAAACCCCGAGATAAAAATGATCTCAATATTAAACCCCTGGTTGGAGCTCCAAATAGGTAGGGTAATTTAAATGAATAATCATGAATTGATCAATATTTATATATTCGTATATGGGTCCACAAAGGTGTAATTAAAAATTTAAATCAATTTCAAAGGAAGTGTTGCCGTATGAATTTGACATCGCAGCTGTAGCAAGGGGATGCAAATATATGCGTTAGGTTAACAGGAGATATAAAGCAAAAATTTAAGATGAATGTTTATGGTTAATAATAAAATTGTAACGTGAGGATGTTGTGCTAAGTGTTCGTCTATGGGGAGGGGGGAAATGAGACTGACCCTGGAGTAGGCTGATGATAGCCATCGGAAGGGAGATTTGGCGAAGGATGCATGCCGGATCTCAGGCAGGGTGGGGGTGTCGGAGTACATCACCTAAACTCCAAATTGTTCGGTGCAAGTAAAGTTTCCAGTAACGTCCAATGTTTATCATTATTTATCCTATTTTGTTTGCATTTCGTTTTGTTTACATTTGATTTTATTGATGTCGTCGGACTGAGATGGCCGATCAGCTGGGCTATTGTGCGGACTGAGGGCTGGGAAGAACCCCACCACGAGATGGACTGGCTAGCCGGCCTTGCCCCATCGAAGAACCAGGTCCGTAACAATAGATGGCGCCCAACGTGGGGCAGGAGTGGATTCGCTGATCCTGTCATCCGAAAGGTTGGAAAGGATGCGAATTGCACATCGGTAGGAATTATAAATAACCAGCCGAGAGGTAGGATCTCGGAAGGGACTTGGTGATTCGGGTACCTCGGTGACCGATGGCCTATGAAGGACCTGATGGTCGGTTCAGAGTAGCGCGGTGCCGGGGGATCTGGAAGCAAAGATACCCCAAAGTAAATGTAATTTTTTTTTGTTGAAAGAGATTGGTACGTATCTGACGAACGGAAGAGGGTGCTCGGTAAGGGTGGTTCGGCACTAGCAGGAAATAATTCTTCGGCTAGTTAGCGACTATCCCTATGCCTGGTGTGCTACTCGAGCGCCTGGAAAATAAAGCAGAATAATAACCGGAATCAGAAATAGTCCAAATAGGGAAAACTTCCCTTACTTACCCGTGATGAGGTCAGGATGTGGAATATCGACTGTGAGTGGCCCGTGGGGACCAGAGAGGTCGGCCACGCGTTGCATTCATGGCGGCTCTTCACTCCTAGAACAATCATTTAGTGATGTAAGTAAGGAGAAGTTTAGATAATAGAATGGCGAGCGCCCTTGACACCTAGTCTTCTGGGGAAGATGGGATGGTCAACAGCGCTCACCGAGAAACTTGTGCTGGAAATTGAGGACACTGAAATCCGGGGTGAAGTTGGCTCCGGTGAATGTTGAGTTTTTCCCTCCTTGTGGTAGTTGTGAAATTTTGTTTGAGTTGTCATTGTGTGTTGTGGCGCAGCCGGTTCAAAACTATAAAAAAAAAAAAAAAAAAGTAAAAGATAAATATTAGTAAAACATCTAAGTAAAGATAGATTAGGAAAGTTGATGAGCAAGTATTTTTTAAGGTCAAAGGGGAAAATGGTAGACAGGACTCCTCCGCCAGGGAATCCTCGGAAGGGGCATCAAGAAGGAGACGATGACAGCTGGAATTTGCCAATAGCATCGAAGGTCCTGCCATCGGAAATCACATCGGCTGTCAATGTGGCCTTAGCCCAGGCTCAGGAGACGCAACGAGGAGGAATGATGGAGTCCATAAGCCGATCTTTGCAAGAGGAGATCCGGCGCGGGTTTATGGAAATGATGATTGCCGTTACCGAGGCAATGGGACCATTGAAGCAGCAAGTAGAGTTGCTACAGATGCAAGAAGTAGCGAAGGACGGAAGTGATAGCAGGCATAGCAGCAGGCAGGACGAGAAGGACAGGAAGAGCACGGGAACTAAGCCAAAATATTCCACAGGCGTACCTCCAGCTTCGCCGCATACACAACGTCCGCAATCCCTAGATGCAAAACAGTATTCCGCGCAGAACGAACCCATCCAGAGATCTCCTAGGTTCGAGGATGGACGAGCCTTGCGTCAGCAAGCGGAAAGGGAGGTCGAGGGTAGATTTACAAGGTGGGGACGAGTTGAAAAGTGGGAGATATACTTCGATGGAGACCCAAACAAAATGATGGTGGAAGATTTTGTTTTCCGGGTCGAGTTTCTTCGAAGGCAAAGTCGGTGTTCCTGGGATGAGGTCCTCGACAGTTTTCATCACCTGGTCAGGGGCAAAGCGGCCGAGTGGTATTGGCAATTTGTTCGTGAGCGACCGCCCGAGGTTTGTGAAGATCTAAAGGACGAAATTGTGGCCAGGTTTCGAGGCGTCGGTGGTGAGTTTGAGCGGCTACGCGCTCTCCATGAACGGCGACAAAGACCTGGGGAATCAGTCGAGGATTATTTCGGAGCCATGCGACGATTATCGACCAGACTTACCCAACCCATGTCGGAGTCCGAAATGATCCGGGTGATTAAGAAAGGACTCGCTGAGGATATCGCTCGGTATGTTTACGCAGTCAGGGTACGAAGCGTGGAGCAGCTTCGCGAGGAATGCTTGGAAGTGGAAGACACTTTTGTCAGACGAGAGCCCAGGCCAGCATACCGCCCGTCGCAGAAGTTTTCGTCCTCTGGAAAGAGAGTCGATGAAATCATACCGGAACCGGAATCACAGGACAAGGAAGAAGAGGTGATTATAGAGGTGAGCTGTTGACCAAGCAGAGGATATGTTGTTGGAACTGCGGACAGTTTGATCACGGGTTCCGCGATTGTGTGGCCAAGGAACGCAGAATCTTTTGCTACCGCTGCGGGAAACCGGAACATTTTACTCCGACATGTCCGAATTGTTCGGGAAACGGCCGACCAAGCGTGACGAAAGCAGGCGAGCAACGCTTGGGCCAGAAACCTGCGTGGAAGTAGATGATAAGGAAGAAGAAAATTATCAGTATATTATTAATAAACAAAATAGATTAGGGATTAATAAATTAAGATTTCTACCAGCAGAAGAAAGAATAAAAAGATATATTGAAGTACGAAACAGGATTTTTGACGCCAGACAGCTTGAAGGTATGCGGGGAGTCAGCCGCAGGCTTCTAAAGACCCGTTCCCGCTTTAAGAAGAGGCGACAAACGCGCCAGGAGGTGGCTGAAGCAATCCAACGTGGAACGAGAACGGATCCAAGGGTTTTCGCTGAGGTGACCATACACGGCCGGAAGATTGCGGGACTGCTGGATACAGGAGCCTCCGTAAGTCTACTGGGCAAAGACAGTAGAGAGCTGCTGGCCAAACTCGGGGTAGAGATGGACAGATATGTGTCCGTCGTTAAAACAGCTGCCGGTGAAGACAGATCCATAATCGGAAAAATAAAGCTTCCTGTTGGATATAAGGGGATTGTAAAGGACATTCTCTTCTACATATGCCCGTACCTGGAACAATCGATGTACTTGGGGATCGATTTCTGGAGATCTTTTGAGTTGGCTCCAGCAGTTCTAGGCGATGAAAACAGCGAATCCAGTCAAGCTCAAGTAGCTGAAGTCAAGATGTCCCAGATCAGCCACTATGCGGAAGATAGAAGACAAGAAACGGAGGTAGAAGCTTGGGACCTGGGAATGAATGAAGCTGAGGAGTTGGAGAACGTGAAGAAGGAATTTTTGACTTACGAAGAAGCCGGGCTAGGAACGACTGCAGCAGAACAGCACCAGATCCAGCTGGTGGAGGGCGCAGTACCGTTTAAGGATCGTTGTTACCCGCTATCACCAGCGATGCAGGAAGTGGTCTGGAAAGAAGTAGACAAAATGCTAGAGCTAGGGGTTATTGAGGTTAGTGATAGTCCGTGGAGCAATAGAACAACGGTCGTGCGAAAGCCAGATAAAAACAGATTCTGCTTAGACGCGCGGAAACTTAACCAGCTCACCGTAAAGGACGCCTACCCTCTCCCGAGTATCGAAGGCATATTGTCTAGGATCGACCAGACATATTATATATCTAGCGTCGATCTTAAATTTGCGTTCTGGCAAATAAAATTGGAACCGGAAAGCCGGAAGTATACCGCTTTCACAGTAGCCGGACGACCACTTTACCAATTCGTGATGATGCCTTTCGGCCTCTGCAATGCGGCCCAAAGATTATGTCGATTGATGGACCAAGTCATTCCGACACAACTACGATCAAACGTATTTGTCTATCTGGACGATCTTCTGGTGGTAGCTCCTGACTTCCAGACGCATCTGCGATATCTTCGTTTGGTAGCACAATGCCTAAAACGGGCAAATTTGACGATAGGGTTAAAGAAGTCTAAATTTTGTTTCAAATCTTTAAAATACCTTGGGTTTATCATTGGGGGTGGAAAGCTGCAAATGGATCCAGAAAGAGTCTTGGCTATACAGAAGATTCCTGATCCGAAGAACGTAAAGGAGTTACGAAGCTTCCTAGGTACAGCAGGGTGGTACAGACGATTCATAAAAAACTTTGCATCCATTGCAGCACCGCTAACTGACGCCCTCAAGAAACATCCAAGGGGCAAGTTTTCCTTGACTCCGGAGGCTGTCGAGGCCATAAAGCACTTAAAGATGGCGCTAGCTACAGCCCCAGTATTAGTCCATGCTGATTTTAAACGTCCATTCTTTATCCAATGCGACGCCTCTAACTATGGAGTGGGAGCAGTATTGTTCCGGTTGGACGACGAAAATTCAGAACGTCCCGTAGCTTTCTTCTCTTCCAAACTGAATAAACATCAGATTTTGTATTCCGTCACTGAAAAAGAATGTCTGGGAGCGGTATTAGCAATTGAAAAGTTTAGGCCTTACGTGGAGCTGATGCCGTTTACTGTGATCACGGACCACGCAAGCCTAAAGTGGCTAATGTCCCTCAAGGATCTAAACGGGCGTTTGGCAAGGTGGTCTTTAAGGCTTCAGAGTTTCAACTTTAAAATTGAGCATCGCAAGGGAACTGAAAACGTGGTTGCTGACACCCTGTCACGCTGCATAGCAGAGCTGAGTTTCGATTTATCTGATGTCATTGGGTTTCAGACGACAGAATTCGAGTCCGCGGAATACCAAGAATTAAGAGAAGAAATTAGTCGAAATATAGCAACATTGCCTGATTTACGCGTAGATGGAGGATTAGTCTTCAAAAGAACGACATTCGAACAACTTGACGACCAAGTAGAAGGCTCAATTTGGAAGCTGTGGATCCCGGCAGGAATAACATCTACACTAATAGCGAACGCGCACGAGGATCACAAAGCTGCACACGGGGGGATGAAAAAGACACTTCATACTGGCCGGCTATGACGACACAAGTGCGGGAGTATGTCCGGAATTGCACCAAATGCAAGGAATCAAAACCACCAAATTATCGTTGTCAAGTCGGAATTGGTCAAGAAGTAGTCACGGAACGGCCGTTTCAGAAGATCTATATAGATTTTCTTGGAAAGTATCCCAGGTCCAAAAAGGGACAAGCATATATATTTGTTGTTGTAGATCATTTTTCGAAATTTACCTTTTTAAAAGCGATGAAGGAGGCGAGTGTTGGGAAAGTGGTCGAATTCCTGGTGCACGAGGTGTTTTACAAATTTGTCGTACCTGAGGTAATTCACTCCGACAATGGGAAACAGTTCGTGTCGAAAATATTCCAAGACATGATCACTGCATTCGGCATTCAACACATGCGTACCGCTGTATATTCACCACAGAGCAACGCAGCCGAGAGGGTAAATCGGACCATTCTAGCAGCAATTAGAACGTATTTAGAAAATGATCATCGAGACTGGGACCTATACTTACCGGAAATTGAAGTGTCGATTCGTGATTCCGTGCATGAGGCCACGGGTGTAACACCGTTCTTTGCAGTATTTGGACAACAGATGTTCCTAAATGGAAACTGCTACAAACTGGCAAGAAAACTACAGTCTTTGACAGAACATCAAATAACGACGCTGGATCCAGTAGATAAGCGCCAACTTATCCGCGATCACATTCGGGAGAATCTCCATCAGGCATATGAACGCAGCAGTCAGCGCTATAACAAACGGGCGCGAGTTTTCCATGCCAAGCCTGGCCAAGAAATCTACAGACGCAATTTCACTCAGAGCAATTTTGGAAAGATGTACAATGCCAAGTTTGCTCGAAAATATGTGAAATGCCGAGTCATACGCCCTATAGGGAACAATGCCTACGAATTGGAGGATCTGGGGGGGAAGCCTGTTGGGATTTTCCACGCAAAAGACCTAAAAATGTAAATATAAATAGTGGATGTAGCTGTACCCGTACACACGCATACTTACATATGTATATACCTGGGTAGCAAAACAAGAGTCTAGTGGGTGTAGGCCTACGTTGGGCACAAAAGGCGAATCGGGGGGCAAGGCAGGATAGCAAAGTTGTTGTTTTGATTATTAAAAACACTATAAACACAATTTCACGGCAAGTCAATCTTTCAATGTTTACAAATAATTCGCTTCGGCCAGCATTCTCGCGAATTTTTGTGTGGTGTTGCAATTGAAAGCTATCGACAGGGGAATATCGCCCTAAGAGATGGTAGTGTGACCAGTTTTTCAAAGGTTAGCAGGGCCAAGAAAGAGAGGGGAAGTGTGGAGAGTAAGAGGCGCTCTGGTTGACGGTCAGAAAAGAGAACCTTAATCCGCTCTTAGATTCCACCACCTCCCCTGGCCCAGAAGTATCTCCACCCACACCAAACCATGAGGAACTGCACCCACACCGATAGCTGAATGAGAGCCGAGCGGCTACGTGATGCAAATGGAAGAGGTCTCTGCCGTTGGCGAAAAACCGAGAAAGGGATCAGGCCACCACGAGTTCCAAAAAAATTCTTACAGCAGCAAGTGGTTCGGAAAATTGAAGTGAAAATAATATATATAATATTAAAAGTGAGTTAGATGATGGGGTAGTGGCCATCATTCTAAAGTGTAGTATCATGATAATATAACGAACATCTTCAGAAAAGGAAACGGGACGAGTTTGGCCGAGGAAATAGGACAGGCAACCGGGACCGGGAAAAGAAGGCACCGTCAACGAAGAAGTAAGTCCGTTCCAAAGAAACAATTTAATATAAAAAGAAAAAAAAGGGAAAGTAAATTTAAAATTTTCCGGTTAAGGTCACCGTTGGCGAAGTAAACAAATAAATAAATAAAATAAATTATACGATATCTGGACCACGTGCAACCGGCTCCGGGCCAGACCACGACAGGAAGAATTATTCCTTTAACCATATACATACCCAAAACCTTTTGATTTAGCCGCACCACACTGGCACGGGATTTGTTTTCGTTGAAATTTTTCTTGTCGACTATTAAACAATATTGCTCTACAAAAGTTAAAATATGAACTCAGCATTGATAAAAGACTTAAAATAGTTTTTAAGTAAATTAAATAAAACATTCCCCCTTAATATTAGTTAAAATTTCGTCCCAATAATTTAAATGAAAGTCGTTCGTCCACCTTAATCTAAGTTTATATGTTAATTTATTGAATTATTTATGCACCACTAAACTTATATATATATCCCACATACATACATCATATATTGTTTATGTCCTTAATAATTTAAATAGTATTTGTAAGTAAAAAGAATTTGATATAATCAGAATTTCGTGAAACAAGGAAAAGAATATACATTTGCATAAAATTACATATGTAAATTTGCGGAGGTCTCGCAGCAGTTGGGATGTAAATTAGCAAGTAAAGTAAATAACCTACACAACTATATGCGAATGTAGAAAGAGGAAAAGTCTCACATTAATAAGTTTAGAAACCCCGAGATAAAAATGATCTCAATATTAAACCCCTGGTTGGAGCTCCAAATAGGTAGGGTAATTTAAATGAATAATCATGAATTGATCAATATTTATATATTCGTATATGGGTCCACAAAGGTGTAATTAAAAATTTAAATCAATTTCAAAGGAAGTGTTGCCGTATGAATTTGACATCGCAGCTGTAGCAAGGGGATGCAAATATATGCGTTAGGTTAACAGGAGATATAAAGCAAAAATTTAAGATGAATGTTTATGGTTAATAATAAAATTGTAACGTGAGGATGTTGTGCTAAGTGTTCGTCTATGGGGAGGGGGAAATGAGACTGACCCTGGAGTAGGCTGATGATAGCCATCGGAAGGGAGATTTGGCGAAGGATGCATGCCGGATCTCAGGCAGGGTGGGGGTGTCGGAGTACATCACCTAAACTCCAAATTGTTCGGTGCAAGTAAAGTTTCCAGTAACGTCCAATGTTTATCATTATTTATCCTATTTTGTTTGCATTTCGTTTTGTTTACATTTGATTTTATTGATGTCGTCGGACTGAGATGGCCGATCAGCTGGGCTATTGTGCGGACTGAGGGCTGGGAAGAACCCCACCACGAGATGGACTGGCTAGCCGGCCTTGCCCCATCGAAGAACCAGGTCCGTAACAATTACAACCGTCATATTTGAAGTTGACGGCAAACTTTCAGTTAAATCGCTATCTCCGAATCGAGCATATGATGCCTATAGTGTAGTTTCTGTTGACTCTTGAGTCGTTATCGTCATCAATGTATTTCGAATTGTGCACCCAGGACTTGCAGTCAAATAGCCGTAGCCTTGTAGTTCTATGTTAGATGTCCCATCTAAGCAAACAGCAGAAAGCTTTAAAGATTCGTTTGTTGTAAATATCCATTGATTCTTGGCATACATTCAAGACCAAAGAAAGGATTTTCTAGTACTTACTATTTTACAGGATGAATCCGTTTTATTTTGAAATAATTTCATCTCACAACTAATTTCTGATGAAAACATTGTTTGCTTGTTGAAACAAATAAAATCGCTTTTAGTCTGCTTCAGACATTTCAACAAATTCATCACGATGACTGTTCATTGCAAGAAACGGTGATTTTATTTCAATCGAATGAATTTCATGTTTACTCAGAAATGGAATTGGAGTCAATTTGTAGATGTCCAGAACTTGCGAGGATATTAAAGGAAAAGTTACTTTAATAATGACATGATCCTTCACAATAGTTCCTTCACCCTTCATTAGCTGGTATGCCATAAGAATGTTAGCCATTCACCCAGAAACTGGGAGCATTTGTCCAGGTCTCAAGTGACTATGTATTTGTTCCATTTGCTCCTTTAGTTGTCGTGGTGATATTAGCAATGGGCTAATTGTATTATGACGAATATCTGTTAATACATTTATAATTTCTGCTTGTACCCATTGAAGATCTGATGCCAGAATAGAAAGTTGAGTTGACAGTGTTATATACCATGAAAGTTTATTAAATACACTCTTGGTACTTTCTGTGTCGGAGATATACAATAGTTTTCAATCAATTTTAATCGTTTTGAGTTGGAAATCTCATCTCTTTTTATGCCATTAATTGTTGAATCAATCAATGATGTCTGATTTTTTAATAAATTCAATAGGTGTTTTTCGTTGCCTTTAACCTTTGTTATTGTCTTGCCCATTTCGTTAGCATATGTTGAGTCTAAAACGCCAAACAGACTACTTGCTATATTTCCAACGATATCCAGTGGTGCTCTTTGTCTACGCGATTTTGCTAGTAGGATATTTTCA